AGTGGAGATTCTAATTCAATATACTCTTCCAAAATGAGGCTTATTGGTAGGGTGGGTGGTTTTGTCACTTTGCCCAGTGCTGTATCAGATTAACAAAATAAGCAGCAGCCTTAAGGTTATTGACATCTCAAAATAAGCATTAATAGGCAACTTTGATGTTGAAAGACCAAGTAAAGTGGTGTAATGAGCGCTACAAACTCTCATTAAATTAACATAGTCAAAACAAGACTCTGTCTTTGTAATGTCGTTGCCCCACGAGGTTTGCTCTTTTTAGGAAAAGCCCTGCAAAGGTGTGTACGGCCTGGAATGGCTAATTCTAAGTAGATGGTTGGCAAACAAAGCACTTCATCACACTAGAGAAAAAATCCATTTAAAATCTGGTTTCTGCCTCCTGCAGAATTCTTGGGTTTGTTGTTTAGTGAGGCTGTTAAAGGTTCCTCCCTGAACTACAAAACCCCAGAATTCTGCAGTGGATTTTAAGTGGATTGTTTTCTCTAGTGTGATGAGTCCCAGGGCAAATGCTGAGAACAGCAGAGGTGGAATGAAAAATCCCACCTTTGCCTTGTGATTGCAGAGATACAGTGTTTGTAGCCCAGAATCAGGAGGATACTTAGCCTTTTGGGGACATCTAGTTCTTTCCATCAAGCAGGATGGGCAATTTTCCCATTTTTTCAAATCTGACTGTACTATTTCTTCCTATTACCATATGATTTTGTTAAAAAAAATCTGTTTTAAATGCTTTATAAACTGGGTGAACATTTGGCAAGCACATTTGCTCAATATATGCTATTTTCTCCACTGTATGCACTTCTGTACACAATTTCCCTCCAGCATACACACTTTCAGACTTCCTTTCTATTGGAGAAGTAAGAAAACAAGGGGCCGCAGTGACGTAGCGGGTTAAACCGCTAAGCTACAGAACTTGCTGACCAGAAGGTCGGCGGTTTAAATCCATGGGACAGCGTGAGCTCCTGTTGTTAATCCCAGCTTCTGCCAACCTAGCAGTTCAAAAACATTCAAATATAAATAGATCAATAGGTACTGCTTCAGTGGGAAGGTAACAGTGTTCCATGCAGTCATGCTAGACCTTGGAGGAGTCTATGGACAATGCTGGCTTAGAAATGGAGATAAGCACCACCCTCCAGAGTTGGAATTGACTAGACTTAATATCAAGGGAGGAGTCCCTGGTGGCGCAATGGGTTAAACCCTTGTGCCGGCAGGATTGCTGACTGAAAGGTCAGCAGTTCAAATCTGGGGAGTGGGGTGAGCTCCTGTCAGCTCCAGCTTCCCATGCAGGGACATGAGAGAAGCCTCCCACAGGATGGTAAAACATCCAGGTGTCCCCTGGGCAACATCCTTGCAGATAGCCAATTCTCTCACAGTTCCTCAAGTCGCTCCTAGCACACACAAAAAATGTCAAGGGAAAACCTTTACCCTTAACTAAGAAAACTGAAGGATAGCAATATTCCTGTTCATGTGTATTTGTTGAGGAAGTGTAAAAGTTTGGCAGTTCATACTAAAATGCAAACACATGCATTTCTTTTTCATCATTAGTTTTTGTTTTCAATTTGCAAAAAGGACACCCAGTTGGGAGTATTACAGGAAAGGATCTGCATGCAAAAGATGCGTTAAGCCCCCACATATCTCAATTCTTCACCAAAATGGTCTCTGCGCTATTTCCCATTCTTCCTATTTTGTCACATGGACATTTACAAACTTATAACTACTGACATTCTGTATGATTTCCTAGAATGCTTTGAAATATGGACAGGATATAGAGTACTCCACTGTCCACTTTAGACATAGTGTATAACGTTGGAGCGTAACATATTTCATGTTGTTGTCTTAAAATATACTACTTGGTTCATTTACCTTCTCTTCTGCTCTTCACTTCCACTTATTTCTTCACGTATGGCATGAATAATTGTCCATTAGGATCAGTATAATAGCTGAATCATAAACATCTCATTCAACAGTTTTCCACAGAGATCTACTGGAACATTTTAGTCTGAGTGTAATGTTGCAGTAGAGCCAAGCAACCCAATCAGCAGGATCCTATCTCGTAACTCTGGACTAGATGTACCACCTTAGTCTTGAGTCGGATGGATGAACTGCATAGTTGAATGTGCTCTGTCCTCCATGCTCTGAACGTAAGCAACATGCAAGAAGTAAGAACAGGCTAGATCCCTTATCTTTGGCATACTAATTTTTGATACTCTGTGAGCATTCGAAATGTAACCCCATCCTTAAAATCTGCAGTACAGCAATTCAGAACTCAGCAAGAACTGCACCAAAACGTTCTTCTAAAGATGTAGTTCTGCTACTGTTCAGCATCTTCAACAGGTTTTTTTCCACCTTTGCATCTGAGTCACATCTACAATACCACCAGGCAACAGTTGATAGAGAAATCTCCCTGAGGCCCTTCTACCCTGCCATATAAAATCCAGATTATCTGCTTTGAACTGGATTATATGGCAATGTAGACTCATATAATCCAGTTCAAAAAAGATAATGTGGATTATCTACTTTGATAATCTGGATTATATGACAATGCAGAAGTGGTCTGAGAGGTGGAAAGAACCCTTGTGCTACTCCAACTCAGAAGTGACCCAGAATAATCCTTATGGTTTGCTTCCTTTAGTAATTTGGAACTCTCTTATTTTATGCTGCCATCCTGAACCAATGGGTTAATTCTTGGGGGTGGGGTGGGGAGATAATGTAGATATCTGTTTTGCCATCTAGCAGTGTGACCTTGCAGACAAGCAGTGGAATGGCTGCTAGTAGAGACATGCTGTGAAATAAGTGGAGAGGCCTGAGGCATAACCAGTCATGGAGAAATAGCACATTGAGGCCAAGCCACCACACATGAGCCTGCTAACCCCTACTGCTTTGTGGCAGAAAGGAAAAGCAGAGTTGCTCGCCCTGACAAATAAGCGTCTTGAAATCTGTTTAAAGGGGGGAATATGCATAGCTGAAATAATATTAACCTGGGCAGGCTATCATTAAACGGTTGGTTAGTCTGCAATATCTGCCACACATGATGCAATGAGAGAGAGAGAGAGAGAGAGAGAGAGAGAGAGAGAGAGAGAGAAAGGGGGGAGCAATGAGAGCAGAAATTCTAAACTGAGAATAGGGAAAACTGATTTCAGGATATCTGGTGCCAACAACACACTAGGGTCCTGCATATCTAGGGCTGGCTGGTTTGGTGGCCACTGTTCCATATGTTGACCTCTTCCGACTAGTTCCTGGCTCTTTGTGGTCATATAGAAGACAGGGTGAGCTCATGACATATGGCCATAGCAGCAGCCTACAGCCATGTGTCCTGCGGCAATAATGGTGCACCTGAAGCCCTCCAGATATCGAACTACAATACCCATCATCTCTTACCGCTGCCTACGCTGACTAGGGCTCTACTTCCAATATCTGTAAGGCTGTAGTTTTGCGAATTTCTCTTCTAGTGTTTGGGTAATGTGAGACTTGTTTTGTACTGTTTTGCTTTATTTCCTTGATAAAAGAGTCTTCCCCTGTTCAAAAGCTACTGGGAAGAGCCATTTTTTTGGCCAAATCATACCGAGTTCTCCCAGGGTTAAAGCATCTTCCCAGCTTTAGGGATTGAAAAGAATGGAGAGCATTAACTAATTAATGAATAACAAGATTAAAAACAAGGGGCTTCTGGGATAATTTGCATTCCTCTGCCTAAATTCATGAATGACAAAGAGCTGTGCCTTTGCCAAGCTGGAAGAGGAGGATATGGCTGCCTTCCCTGCTCCTTTCATCACACTTCAAACTGTTCTCTTCCTCCTCTTCAGGGCCCCAATGTCACTCCTTTAGAGTTACAGGAGAACAGCTGACAAGGATGCGTTTTTGTTATTACAATATCTCTGGCTTGGGAAGGATGAGAAGAAGGAGTACAGGGTGAGGAGAAAGGAGTAGAAATCTGAAGAGAGTGGCACATTCATGAAGAGGAATATATGAGGCCACGAGTTGATGGCAGATGTGACAACCATTCCTATGTGGAAGAGTTAACCTTCCTGGCATGGCCTGAGTGTTTTGCTTGAGTTGCTTGACCCTTATTTACAGGTGGAGGTTTCACAGTTGGGACTGGGAAAATGCCTGCCTTCAGGCTAACCTCAACATACTTCAAGCAACGAATGAGAGGTTCTTGCTTAGGAAAGCACATATGATGGTATCTGCAGGACATAACATGCTTATATGCAATTGTTTTGTGGTCCTGCAAATACCTGAATGTTTTCTTTTCCAATCTAGCACCCTTTAGACATGTCTTTAGATGCGCTGCCCTCCACCTCCCATCGTCCAATGAGGTACGGTACAAAACATATTGCTACAGCTCCCTTGGGGAGAAAAGAATAGTGCAAATATCTTGCCACTGCTCCATAGAAATACTCCAAATGTGGTGCAGGATCGAGTTTGGAAATTAATGATTCAGGCACCAGATCCAGCTTCAGAGATGAGCTGTCTTCTCATTTCTTGTTGCTCCTGGGATCTTGAGAATCCTTCCCTAATGTGGTGCAGTGCAGACATGTGAGACTGTAACTCACAGCCATTGGCATGTCAGGATGGGAAAGATTATTCTTGAGGGATCAGATGTTGAAGAACAAGTAGGCGAGAAGAAGACTCTCTTTTACAGACCCAATGGGTTCTGTTTTCTCTACTTTCAAACAGTGAAATGATTGATTCTTGTAACACCAGTAGGGACTGCTTATAGGAAGGTGTGTGTGTGTGTTGGAACTGTATGGTGAGAGGAATGGGGAGCGAAAACTATATTTGCTCTCATATCTATTCTTATGGAGAAGCTCTTGGCCAAGCTCAAAACAAACCACAGCCAACCAGTCAAAGTGGTCCATTGGCAAATCTGGTTGTTAAGTCAACCTTTATCTAGCTGAGTGCCAAAAGCTACTGCCTGATGTCTTCCTTCAATATGTTCTCTCCTTCTCCTTCTTGCCTTTTTTGTTCTTTCCTCCTTCCCAAATCCCTTGTAGGGGAAACGTAGAGGCCCTGCGAGATGAGCCTGCCCCCGGGCACCCCCGCTGCTAGGATGCTCTTTGTTATGGCTCTGGCCTGTGCCAGCCCTTTCCTGGACCTGCGGCGACGAACCATCAACATTCCCATCATTTTCAGTGGCTCCACGTACACTCCGGAGAGTGCCCGGTTCTCGCCTGAGGACTTCCGCAACTTCTCCATGGAGATCAACCCCATCCCAGTGGTTCTGAATGACACCAACCCTCGCAGCCTTATTGTGCGGCTTTGTGATGTCCTCTCTTCCCTGCACATTCATGGTGTTGTCTTTGAAGATGATACACGAACAGAGGCTGTGGCCCAGATCTTGGATTTCATCTCAGCACAGACCTCCGTTCCTATCATTGGCATCAATGGAGGATCAGCTATTGTTCTTACACCCAAGGTAAATAAGTTTCCTAGTTTTCTTGTCCATTCCAATATATATGCACTTGCTTTTTATGTACTGAAAAGAATATATTTAAAGCAGACTCTCAGTTAACTGGAACTGATAGGGATTGGTAGATGCCAAATAAATGTAGTTCCTGGCTGCTTGAGAGTTACTATTAAAAATAGGGCTAATACTATATTTCATACTATATCCTACCATAAACTCTTATTGACTTGATATGAAGATAGAAATACAACCATTAAAAGTAAATTAAGTCAAGTAAAGACAAATGGAACTTAAATTTACATTTCTGCTAAAATTGTTTTACTTGATTTTTATTTAAAGTATTATTACTTTCATTTTTTACTGGTAGTTTGAGTTTTGGTTAACTGAGAGACTGGTGTATTTCAAATTTAGCACCTAAACTAAATTCTTTAGCCTGAATATACAGTAGAGTCTTGCTTATCCAACCTTTGCTCATCCAACATTCTGTATTATCCAACGCAGTGTGCCTCCTGCCCGGATCCACAGCTGTTTCAATACATTGTGATGTTTTGGTGCTAAATTTGTAAATACAGTAATTATTACATAACGTTATTGTGTATTGAACTGCTTTTTCTGTTGATTTGTTGTAAAACATGATGTTTTGGTGCTCAATTTGTAAAATCATAACGTAATTTGACATTTATTAGGCTTTTCCTTAATCCCTCCTTATTATCCAACATTTTCACTTATCCAACATTCTGCCGGCCCGTTTATGTTGGATAAGCAAGACTACTGTATTGTGAAAATGTGTTGATTCAAGGAACTATGAGCTCTCTCCCCCCCCCCCCTCTCTATATATATAACTGCAGAATTCACTCTTCTAACGGCAGTATTTAACTTGGTTCAGGTTCTCTTTTCATGTACAGGATATACACAGCTCTAGATACATTGATTGGGATAGAGAATCAAAAGAATGCAATAGAAGTGCCGCTAACATGTGGGAAGGGATCGCAAGGTCACTTTCACAAACATTAGCAGATTTGAATGGACAGTTTGGACAAAATAATTTTTATACATGAGCACTTTTGAGAGTAGTCCTGGGGAATGCAGTGTGGAAAACGTTTTATGAGAATGGAAAATCAACCTTTTCTCCTCAACTATTATAAAAACATTGAGAAAACTTTCCAATGCTTCGACTCTGGGTTGCTTTTCACCCTGATCTTTCTTACTCCCTCTTCAATCTAGGAAAAGGGATCGACCTTCCTTCAGTTGGGTTCCTCAACCAAACAGCAGTTGCATGTGATGTTTGAAGTCCTAGAACAGTACGACTGGACAGCGTTTGCTGTCATTACAACACTATTTCCTGGTTATGAAGATTTTGTAGACTACATTGAGGTGCTGACCGACAGCAGTTTCATTGGTTGGGAGCGCCGCAGCACTGTGACCCTTAACCTCACTGATGACCCAGATGGGGCTCGCCTCAAACGTCAGCTCCGGGAAATAAATGCCCGCATCTGCCTTCTCTACTGCTCACGTGAAGAAGCAGAAAGCATCTTTCGTGCAGCTCGTGAAGTCAAACTTACAGGCCCAGGGTACATCTGGTTTATGGCAGGTGCCAACTTTGGTAGAACTGAATACATGCCAGAGGAGCTGCCTGAGGGTCTCTTCATGGTGCTTTCAGCAGGATGGAAAGATGATCTCTACCACAGAGTACAAAATGGTGTGGCTATCATTGCCAAGGGGGCTGAGGCCCTCTTCCAAGTCTATGGCTCAGTACCAAAATTCAACAATGACTGCCGGGCACCCAACCTCACCCAGTTCAACGAGAACCTGCATAGGTCAGCAGGGGACGGGGGGTTGGGAAAAGGGCTTTGGGCTGGAAGGGCGGCAAAATCAAGAAAAAGGAAAGTGCTTCTATTTTGAAAAAAAGACAATGGATCTAAGTTATTCCCAAACCCTTATTTCCACTCCCTTTCAAATCATCTCTTCCTTTACATATTCCTTCCCTAAAGGATCTTTCCCTCTATGCAAAACAGCATGGGAAATATGGGTCTTTCATGTGCTAGGCAGCAACTTCTAGTATAGCTCACCACTGGATTTACTTGTGAGAACGAAATGAATGAAATCTTGTGACACTCCCAAGTTATTATGATGTAAGCTTTCATACATCACTACTGTTTCTGAATTGGCCTCTAGTCCACAAAGCACACATTATAATCAGTTGTCAGTCTTAAAATTGCCACATGTTGTCAGTCACATAAACTCACATTAACTTCTTTTCTGTTTATCCATCTTGATTTTCATCTTCTCTCTCTCTCTCTCTCTCTCTCTCTCTCTCTCTCTCTATATATATATATATATATATATATATTTCCCTCAACCAGTTGTACATCCTGACATAACAATTGCTATATCCCTGGTTCCTACCACATAAACATCTCATCTGTTTTATTCCTTTCTCCTTCATTCCCATTATTCAAAAGTTTCATACTTATTTACTGACCCTCCAGTCTTAGGACCCTTCCACACAGCTCTTTATCCCATAATATCAAGGCAGAAAATCCCACATTATCTGAGTGTGGACTCAGATAGCTCAGTTCAAAGCAAATATTGTGGGATTTTCTGCCTTGATATTCTGGGATATACATGGCTCACCAATTCCTTTCCCTGAAATGCCAGGCATAGAAAAGAAAGGGAGAGGGAATGAGGCTGGGATAGCAGCATGTGGTGGATGGGCACAGGTTGACAATGGAAAGTTTCCATCTTGTTGTTTGTTTTGTTTTTTGCAGGTACTTCATGAATGTTACTTGGGGTGACAAGGATTTCTCCTTTAATGAAGAAGGATACCTCATCAATCCGTCCTTGGCTGTGATCTCCCTCAGCAAAGACCGTACCTGGGAGGTGGTGAGTTTGAGGGTGTTTGGCATGATGGAGGGAAGGAGACTGGGACAGTGTTAACTGGTGGAATCACTATGGCAAGGAAGAGCTTTATAGGAAGGTACATTGTTGGCAAAATTGGGGGGGGAAACTATTAACTTGGAAATTGGAGCAGTTTGAGGAAGTGTTCAACAGCCATAAGCACTTAAAGCTGAAACATCAGAGTCTCAATCGCCCGCTGTTGTCAGGTACAGCTATTCACATGCCAGCACTGCCTCAAAGTCAGGTACTCACACAATGCAGATGGCAGTGTAGAACAGTTAAAACTGCAGATGCCCAACAGAAAGGAGCCAGAGAAGCCAATTTGCAAGGGAGAGCAACTGATTTGTGGTTTGCTAGTTAATCTGATAGGGAAGTGACTGCATCCTTGATTCAAGTCTTATCATTCAGTTACTGGACAATGAGCAAAGCCTGTTCACACAGTGTTGGATTTATACAAAACCTTAGTAGGCAAAGTTTTTACTGTTATTGTTGTGTGACTTCCAGCCATTTCTGATTTATGGTGACCCTAAGGTTATCACAGGAGTTTCTTGGCAAGATTAGTTGAGAGAAGTTTGATTTGGCATCCTCTGAGGCCGAGAGAATGTGTCTTGTCCAAGGTCACTCAGCGGGTTTCCATGACCGATTGGGGATTTGAGCCCTGGCTTCTGGAGCCCCATCCCAGCACACAAATCATTAAGTCATACTGCCTCAACAACTATAGCATAGGACACCTGATTATGAAGGGCCTTTAAATATAACAGAAAACAATTCCAGAATACACACAGGCATTGGGTAATGCTTTGGGGCTTCTTTCTTGACAGAGCTTAAAGTCTGAGTATGTTAGCCGTCTGCCTATTTGAACTTTGTAAAAGACATACTGTTACCAGTATGTCCTTTGCAATATATCTTGTCTCTATTGCAGTCAGGGTTGCCTTCAGTGTATGGCTGAAATAGAAAGGTAATGTGAAAGGTGGGAGTTATTTTTAGGTAGGAATACAAGGTTTAGTGTCAATCTGGAAAAAAGTGCAAGTTAGGTGTGAGAATCTTTCAGAACGGACAGGAATGTGTGTGTGTGTGAATGGCAGATTGTGTGTAAATCTGTGGTCGGTTTTGGTAGTGTTGGAATATTTGGGAGGGAAGGTTTGGGGTATATCTAACCTTTTCTCTGTGCCCCCGGGAGGCAGGTGGGAAGGTGGGAGCGTAGAATCCTCAGCATGTCACGGTTCAGGAAATTCCTACAGCCTGTGGATGACAACAAGCACCTCATGGTGGCAACACTTGAAGAAAGGCCCTTTGTCATTGTGGATGACATAGACCCTGCCACAAAGACCTGCATCCGGGACTCGGTGCCCTGCCGCCATCCTGTCAACCGCACCAACAGGTATTTCCATGATGCTATCTGAGGGTCACCAAAGTTAGGGTAATTTTAAAATTTATGCTTATACTTAGGTCCTGTTCTTCCTTGAGAAAGTTCAGTGTGACTTCCCATCCAACCATTGACCAGATCTTGCTTGCTTACTTTTTTATGCTCTTGTTCCACTTATATACTGCCTTTTCTCCAAAGAACTTGAAGTTGTACACACAAATCTTACATGCAGTTCTCACTTGCCCCCATTGTATTGTCACAACATGAATGGCTGAAGGCCACTCAGTGAGCAATGTAAGTGACTGGGAACTTGAACCCAGGCCTCACTGATCCTCATCTGCCACTCTACTTGCAACCACACTAACTCTTGTTCAGCTTTCACAGCCTGCTAAGCCACTTGCTGAATTCCTTTCCTCCTTCCTTGTACTCTCCACAGCAATCACCTGGAAAAGAGATGCTGCAAAGGGTTTTGCATCGACATCCTGAAGCGCTTGGCAAAGACTCTGGGTTTCACCTATGATCTCTATCTTGTCACCAATGGCAAACATGGCAAAAAAGTCAATGGCATGTGGAACGGCATGATTGGAGAGGTAACGCCATTCCTCTTTTCTAGGAAATAGAATCTGAACTGACATACAAACACTTAACCCCATCCCACTCCCACTCTCCACGTTCTAGTTTTTTCCCCAAAGAATTAAAGAATCCTGGAGGTTATTCTTTTTCACAGATGAGTGAAAATTGGAGACCTTTGACTGACAGAATTCACAAGATTTGCCATAGGCTGTCTTCAGTCTATATTTGAAGGAAAGAACTATTTAAACAATGTACTGAGAATGACTGTAGGACTGCAGGAATAATCCAAGGCCTTTTTAAGGAAAGAGTTGTGTTTCCAAACAGACACCCAGCCTAACTATTGGAAATAAATGCACACATACATTTTAGTCACTGAACCAAGGCCACAGATTAAGATTGGGAGCTACATTTCCTAAAGATACTTGTGTATGATCGCCATGTTTATTCTCACTTCCACATATTAATAATTTGAATGAGAAAATGAATGCCCAGTAGGAATTTATTTTTAAATGCATTGAAATCATCTAGTTAGGGAAGTTTTCCCCATGGCTCTATATTTTAATTCTGTTTATTTCTCACCTTTCTCCCCAAATTGGAACTTGTGCTACCTCACAAAAAGATTAAAGTCAGGCACAAATACAAGCAGAAAAGCTATGAAATGCAACCAAATTAAGAGGAATTTTAAAAATCAATTCAAAACTTTATATTTTTACGCCCACTAAAAAGCCATTTCCTGAGCAAGCTAGTCATTTCTAAAACCCTGCATGATTGACAACCAAAGAATAATGGGGAGGAGAGCCAGCCTAGCCTTCCTTGGAAGTGAATTAAACAATTGAAGAGGAGCTGCCAGATTGGCCTCATACCCTCTTAACCATTCCTGATTCCATTTCTTTTAGTATGCACACACTATGTGAAATTCATGGGATCATCTTAAATTCGTACCTAACTTGAAGGCATACACACATATGGAGTAAGGAGACAGAAGCTACTGCCCTGTCTCCATGTCTCAGGAGGGACTACTGCAAGGACCCTTCTGTAGAAAACCCAGGATTCCTAGCATTTAGTACCCACTTTGCTTCCCTTTCTTTCTCTCTGTAGGTATATTACAAGCGAGCTGACATGGCAATTGGATCCTTGACTATCAATGCAGAGAGAGCTGAAGTGATAGATTTCTCTGTGCCCTTTGTCGAGACGGGCATCAGCGTTATGGTGTCCCGTAGCAATGGAACTGTTTCACCATCTGCCTTTCTAGGTAAAATCCCAGTTCAAGGATGGGGAAAAGTAAGAAGCAGGGGAGAACATTAGTATGAGATAGGCAAGGAGCCTGTCGGATAATGTCATTCCAGAACTGGGTACATGAAGGAAGAGAATCCAGGAATCCTAAAATGTCCCTTCCTTTCACCTGTTGTTTTCAAAGTTTAACATAATTATGGAGGAAGCTCTTCTAAGATCTTTTACTATTGCTGAGGCTCTGTCTTGAGTGTTTTTAAATATTAATGTGATTGTAATATTTGTAACCCACTGTAGACATTGAAAGGTGAAAAGCAGAAAAATAGATCAGTCAGTTAAAAAAAGGTATTTCAAATAAAATTAAACTTGAAACAAACAGAGAAAACTGTCACTGTAGAGATGCCAATTTGTCCATTTGTGGCATCATGGGATGGACACATCTTAATCATGTCAGCCCAGGGCCCTTCCACACAGCCGTATATTCCAGAATATCAAGGCAGAAAATCCCACAACAATCTGCTTTGAACTGGGTTATCTGAATCTACACTCAGATAATGTAGAATTTTCTGCCTTGATATTCTGGGATATAGGGCTGTGTGGAAGGGCCCCCAGTTCAAGCAGCATTTAAAATTGTATGAGGTTAAGGGGGAAAGAAGGAGCCCCGGTGGCGCAGTGGGTTAAAGCACTGAGCTGCTGAGCTTGTTGATCGAAAGGTTCGATTCCGGAGAGCGGCGTGAGCTTCCGCTGTCAGCCCTAGCTTCTGCCAACCTAGCAGTTCGAAAACATGCAAATGTGAGTAGATCAATAGGTACCGCTCCGGCGGGAAGGTAACGACGCTCCATGCAGTCATGCCAGCCACATGACCTTGGAGGTGTCTACGGACAACGCTGGCTCTTCGGCTTAGAAATGGAGATGAGCACCACACCCCAGAGTCAGACATGACTGGACTTAATGTTAGGGGACTACCTTTACCTTTACCTTAAGGGGGAAAGAAACTGCTTTTTCCCTGAAGGAGCACACTTTGGTTTACAGCCTGGGAAAATGCAGTTTGGCTTCACTCAGAATGATGAAGGGAATTGTATTTGTGTAAATAAGTCCTCAGAATATTCTGTTCCTTCACAAATCCCTAACTCCCTTCTGTCTTGAAATTAGTGTGATTCCCACAGCTAGTTTGAGGAACCATTTAGTTCCAGTTTAAAGTGACTTTGGACTCACGGTGCTGATGCAGCTTTACATTTTCTTAAAATGTTATTATTGTTTTAAAGAGCCCCTCACTATCAAAGGTTCAGACTCCTCCTTTTCACCCATCAGGGCCCGGTCTGTCTTGTGCATCCCATCACCAGTACCCCTGTTTTTTCTTCCCACAGAACCCTACAGCCCTGCTGTCTGGGTGATGATGTTTGTCATGTGCCTGACTGTTGTTGCAGTGACCGTCTTCATCTTTGAATATTTCAGCCCAGTAGGTTACAACCGCAGCCTCAGCGCCAGTAAACGTAAGTGCACCAAAGCTTTCAGAAAATGGACACTGGGTAGGGTGGGGGGTGCTCTCCAAAGAAAAGGAATCAGCAGTTCAGGTAGCCTGGTACATTAACGTTTCCAAAGGGAATGTCAGCTTTTTGTTTATATTTCGCCCCCTTCCCTGGCCCACTTCTCCTCCATCTTCTTCACTAGGCACTGGAGGCTCCAAGTTCACCATTGGGAAGTCAATCTGGCTGCTCTGGGCTTTGGTGTTTAACAACTCTGTGCCTGTTGAGAACCCCAAAGGCACCACCAGCAAGATCATGGTGCTGATCTGGGCCTTCTTTGCCGTCATCTTCCTCGCCAGCTACACAGCCAACTTGGCCGCCTTTATGATCCAGGAGGAATACGTCGACACTGTGTCTGGGCTCAGTGACCAAAAGGTGAGGAAAAAGGAAGGATGCATCCGAAAAAATAGTAATTCAGGCCTCATTAGTTTCCCTTCTTTCTTCCAGTGATATATGCCAAGAGTTAAGAAATGCTCCCTTTTTTGGACAGCAGCTTGCAGAATTCTGGAAATAATTTGCAGTCCAAGAAAATATCTTGTCCAAGCTTTGCTCTATGCAATCAAACATACATATATATATACACACACACTTTCATCAATTCCCACTCGACAACTCTCATTATCTTTCTCTTCCATTTATTTCTTCAAAATCATTTTCTTTTCCTTCACTCCAAAAACTACCAATATGCAATGCATGAGTTTGCCCTCATACCAGATAAAACACACAACCTTTTACACACATTTTTTAAAAAATCTGCTTGTAGTTCCTTCTCAGCTGTCTAATTTATCGTTGCAATGCCATCTTTTACTATACAACTGATCATCTTACAAAGAACCCGCCTTTGATTGGGTACCTTAGGTTTTGCAAGGTTGATTTTAAATAGCTTCCAGAGAAGCTACCTGGTAGACTCAGCAGTGGCCTTAAAATGCCCATGCTGCTGTGCAGGGAATGTCAGTGAAGGGGAAACTGTTCAAGGATCAGACTGGCAGGCAGATGCATAGGGTTATAACTTCTCCCCCGAAGTGCAAGAACTGACATAGGAAAGTTTGGGAATCATAAGGAGGTCATAGTAAGTACATGCCTGGAATTCAGACTGGGCCCTTCTACCTAATACCAAACAAGGACATTTGTATTTCATTGTGCTTTATATTTCTAGCATGTGATCTACAGTCCTTCTTCTAGAAATAAAGGGAATGCCAACAAGGTAGATTGCCTGTCAGTGTTCCAAAAGAACTGCTCAGGATGATGCATTCATGCATATGTCATAGAGCAGGGGTCCACAAACTTTTTAAACAGAGGGCCAGGTCACAGTCCCTCAAACTGTTGGGAGGGCCGGGTTATAATTTTTTAAAAAAACATGAATGATATGCATGCTGCACATATCTTATCTGTAGTGTAAAAAACACTTAAAAACAATACAAATTAAAATGAGGAACAATGTTAACAAATATAAACTTATTTGTATTCCAATGGGAAGTGTGGGCCTGCTTTTGGCTGATGAGATAGGATTGTTGTTATGTGCTTTCAAGTTGTTTCAGAGTTAGGTTGACCCCGAGCGAGGGCTGGGTAAATGACCTTGGAGGGCCTCATCTGGCCCCCGGGCCTTAGTTTGAGGACCCCTGTCATAGAGCATAGCATTTAACACTAGCACTATGTAATTTTTAAACTTATCAACTATTATACCTCATTACACCTTCTTGTCTCACCAGTTTATGGGCCTTTCTGCACAAACATATAACCCAGAATATCAAGGCAGAAAATCCCACAATATCTGCTTTGAACTGAGTTATCTGTGTCCACACTGCCATATACCAGTTCAGAGCAGATAATGTGGGGTTTTATTCATCTGTGTGGAAGGTGCCTAAGATTCTTGGTTTCCAGCTTTAGATTTCTTTTGTGAGTGACTCTCCTCAAGTGGTCTGCAAGCACACAGATATGTATAGGACTGAGGGCAAATGACTTAACCCTCTCTTCTTTAACTCAACACCCCCAGAAGTTCCCAATGGTTATGTTAGTTGGGAGCGATGGAAGCTATGGTTCAACACTGGAGCCCTCAGTAGTGCAATGGGTTAAACCCTTGTGCCGGCAGGACTGAAGACCGACAGGTTGCAGGTTTGAATCCGGGGAAAGCATGGATGAGCTCCCTCTGTTAGCTCCAGCTCCCCATGCAGGGACATGAGAGAAGCTTCCCACAAAGATGGCAAAACATCAAAACATCCAGCCATCGCCTGGGCAAGGTTCTTGCAGATGGCCAATTCTCTCACACCAGAAGCGACTTGCAGTTTCTCAAGTTGCTCCAGACATGGAAAACAAAAACAAAAACCAGGAACTACAAGAAAGGAGATTCCACCTGAACATGAGGAAGAACTTCCTGACTGTGAGAGCTGTTCAGCAGTGGAATCTCTGTCCCAGAGTGTGGTGGAGGCTCCTTCGTTTAAGCATACGCTGGATGGCCATCAGTTGGGGATGCTTTGAATGTGATTTTCCTGCTTCTTGGCAGGGGGTTGGACTGGATGGCCCACAAAGTCTCTTCCAACTCTATGATTCTATGAACAGACCTGAAGAGGCTCCCAGGTGAAAGAAAGTTAACCCAAACTCCCAGGATGAAATATTGCATTTCCATACAGCATTTCAATGGGACGTCTTGCTGGTGCCCAGCATGCATCGTGTGTATTTATAAACCAGGACGTGTCTGATTATCCCCTGGTAATTAGCCCCTGACGAATAACCACAGCTGTGGGGAAGGAGGGGGCCACACAAACCGGACCAGCTGTGGCAAAGCGGCCCGGCTCCAACTGAATCCCTTTCGTTAAAAGCTAACGAGCTGGGATGTAATTAATGGACGTAATTAACGTCCAACATGAAACACAATTGTAGATAAATATTAAACGGCTCAGATTAACAAACATGCACCGAGTAGGGAGCAATTTGAGGGAAGTGGCAAAGGAAGAAAGTCTAGGCAGGGTTCGCAGAGGAGGAAAAGAGTATACATTAAGGCTGTAATATACCAGACAGGAAGCTGTGCCTGAATAATACCAGAGGAATGGCTGGAATTACTCGTGTAACATGGCTGGACAGCCTTTGGTCTGCAACAGTTTCATGCAAACTATTTCTTACAGCTTCTGCAGAGTCCATTTGGACCTCTGAAGGACAATTGGTCCTTATCAGCAGATTACTAAGCAAGGAAGGAATCAGAAAGACGGAAAACAGAGTCTATCTCCTCACCTCCCTTGAAAATATGTGGCCATGGAAATCCTCCATGTATCTCACAAAGCAGACACCAGTTGACAAATGTTTATTGCACTATAAATAAATTAGACTTCCAGCTACCACTGGAGGTTTTTCCTTAAGTGCTATAAACTTTTATTGCCTTGTACCTCTTCCCCCATCCCCACATTCATTTTCACCGTACGCCATTCACCTCTTTTCCATTTACTTTCCCCCTATTCTTTTGTCATACACATTCCAGATACTTTGTAGAGATCTTCCATTTTCTGGGTTGCTGTGAGATTTCCAGGCTGTATGGCCATGTTCCAGAAGCATTTTCTCCTGACCTTAAGACCACATCTATGGTAGGCATCCTCAGAGCTTGTGAGGTCTGTTGGAAACTAAGCAAGAGAAGTTTATATATATATGTGGAACCAATCAGGGCCAGTTAACACCTTCCAACAAAGGATCCCCTGGCAGCAACCACCCAGGCTTTGAAACTACAAAGCCATTAAATGCTAATCAATATGGCCAATGTAAGCCCTGGTGATGCAGTGGGTTAAACCCTTGTGCCAGCAGGACTGCTGACCAACAGGACAGCTGTTCAAATCGGGGAGTGAGGTGAGCTCATTCTAGTTCACTCACTCTCAGCTCTAGTTTCCCATGCAGGGACATGAAATAAGCCTCCCACAGGATGGTAAAACATCAAACATCCAGCCATCCCTGGGCAATGTCCTTGCAGACGGCCAATTCTCTCACACCAGAAGGAACTTGCAGTTTCTCAAGTCACTCCTGACACAAAAGAAATTTGGCCAATTGCAACATTCTCACTTGCCTCAAGGAGACAAAAGTTCTTTCTCCCACTCTGGATATTCCACAAATATATATAAACATCGCTTGCCTAGTTTCCAGCAGACCTCACAAGCTCTGAGGATGCCTGCCACAGATGTGGACAAAATGTCAGGAGAGAATGCTTCTGGAACATGGCTATACAGCCCGAAAAACTCACAGCAACCCAATGATTCTGGCCATGAAAGCCTTCGACAACACATCTCCCATTTTCTCCTTTCACTTTCTCCAAATATTTTTGTCTAATAATTTCTAGGCCTTTAGATCTCTAGCAGCCTCCTTCCATCATCTCCATTTGCAGGAAATCCATTACTCCCCCTCTTCACACTTCCCTTCTCATTGCTGCTGATAATCTGGGAGTTTTTTTGGACATAATTTGGGATTTTCATTTTGCTGCTTCTTTGCTTCTCCTGGTTGCCATATCAGAGGGCCCAGTTGCCCCAGGAATATCAAGGAGGGACTGAATTGTCTCGGAGAGCTTTTGTACAGAGCCGGTTTTATGAACATGCCAAAAATGTTTTTCTCTATCCACCAGGCTTTTGAAGCCATCTCTTCTAATAGAACAAACAGGCTGTCTCTGCCCTTCATACTTCTAAATGTATCCCAGTCTATTTCAGTATTGCTGATCGCTCTCTTAGTGCACCTCCATGTCAACAATCGTGTCTGCCAACTGCTGAATCCACCGATATCCAGAATTATCTTTTCATTGTGTTTGCGTATTTATGAATCCATTCTTGGCCTTTCCCATTCAGTGACAACAACCCCCCCCCCCCCACACCCCACACACACACACCACCACCACCAATTTATTGTTTGTCCTCACCTTTAATGTTTCTTGGTTAGGGACATTTCCAGATCTTCTCTGTCAAAGGTGGTTTGGAGAAATGCATCTGTGTCTCTTCAGCCTTTGTTTGGTAGCCTATATCAGGCCAAGCTACACAAAGACTTTTTTTTAAGCTTAAAAATAGTTGTCTTGGTGGATTTTGAGGTCATGACAGCAGAACAGTTTTAAACAAAATCTCTTCTCTTGGCCACTTCCCCTATTAATATAACCTTCCCATCCCAGGCTGGTACCTGTCTCCTCTCCCTCACCCTGATCTGATCTCAGTCAGCAAAAGAGCATGGGGTGGAGCAGGGGAGTCAGAACACTTGGCGCTTTTACATTTTAAAAAAGATATGGTGGAATCTAGTCTCAGATTGTCCTTTTACCTCTCGCCATTTCTCTGTTTCCATATGATTTTGCTGTCTCTTCTTGCATATGAAAAGCACATTTGCTTCCTATAAGCGAGTGGTTCTCAACCTTCTTAATGCCGCGACCCCTTAATACAGTTCTTCATGTTGTTGTGACCCTCAATCATAAAATCATTTTCATTGCTACTTTATAACTGTAATGTTGCTACTGTTATGAATCGTCATGTAAATATCTGATATGCAGGATGTATTTTCATTCACTGGACCGAATTTGGCACAAATACCTGATACACCCAAATTTGAATACTGCTGGGATTGGAGAGGGGGGGGGGGTGTCTGATTTTGACATTTCGGAGTTGTAGTTGCTGGAATTTATAGTTCACTTACAATCAAAGAGCATTCGGAACTCCACCAACAATGGAATTGAACCAAACTTGGCACACAGAACTACCATGACCAAGAGGGTTTGGTGGGCATTGACCTTGAGTTTTGGAGTTGTAGTTCACCTACATCCAGAGAGCACTGTGGACTCAAAACAATGATGGATCTGGACCAAACTTGACACGAATACTCAATATGCCCAAATGTGAACACTGGTGGAGTTTGGAGAAAATAGATCTTGACATTAGGTACTTTTAGTTGACGGGGTTTATAGTTCACCTACAATCAAAGAGCATTCTGAACCCCACCAATGATAGAATTGGGCCAAACTTCCCACACAGAATCGCCATGCCGTGAAGGGACTCGCTGGCACGAGCCTCCCTCCAGTCTCACACGCGCTCCCTTACCCGGAACGCGCAACATGCTGCCATGCGCCGACAATGCCTGCTCTCCCCTCCCCACTTGGAGTCTCAGAATCAGCCCTCCCCTTGGCTGAGAGGCCGGCCAGTAAGAGCGGAGGAGGGCTTTTGGTGGGAGGATTCACCGTCTATTTCCAAAAAGGAGGCAGAGAGATCTTCAGCCATCTCTGCCAAAAAAAATCCCAAAACCATTAGAAATATATGTTTTCTTATGGTCTTTGGCAACCCCTCTGAAACCCCCTCACAATCCCCCAGGGGTCCTGACCCCCAAGTTGAGAAACACTGCTATAAGCCCAAAGATCATCTACTTTTCCAGGCACTCGACTCCTAAATATAATGAATGATCACAACATGTGGAAATTAAATAATGAATTACTCATAAATGCATGATACTGACCTCAAAATCCTTTTGTTAAAAAAAGGAAAAGCAGTTTGGAAGAGTACATTGTGGTGAAGTGGCAAAAGAGAAGACGGTGCCACCATGTCTATTGTACTTTCTCACATTTGCATTTTCCCCCTGTAGAATTCCAAAAGTATGTTTGCACTAGCATTGTAAATTCCCTCTCACTAAATTACTTTTCATTTAAAATATAAAAGTATTGGGGCTCAGTGACATGCGCATAACATAGAGTTAGCTCGCAAAATATTACAAAATTCTTCCTGCTCTGTGGTAGCTCCAAATACCCCGATGGAAATGAGGAGTTAAATCCATGATTATGTGCATGAAAAAAATCCTTCTGCCTTGCCCTTCCCTAAAATTCTCCATCTTTCCAAGGAGAAGATAATATTTGGAAGTTAATGGGAGCCATGCACTTAGCTTCTTGAAAGATGGAATAAAAATGAAGTTAATTGTTTGCTTATTTATTTATTTTTTTATTTCGGGTACTTTTACCCCGCCCTTCTCAACCCCCAAGGGGGGACTCAGGGCGGCTTACAAAAAAGGCATGATTCGATGCCTATACAAATTACACATAATGTACAAAACACCATAGTTAAAACAATTATCACAATTAAAACAATCAAACATCAATATACAACACATCATACAAACACGTTATTACCAACATATTATTTACCTGAACTTGGAGGAGTAATTTGTGGATTACCGCTCCCAGAATCCTATGCCTAACACAATTGGGGAATTTTTGGAATTATAGTCCAACAAATGAACCTTACCCGATGCTGATCTATCTGGCTATTCATCTCCAAGTATCTTCTTAGCTTTCCATCCACCCACACACTTTTCTGCCCATCTGTTTTGTCCATCTTTCTCTCACACATAGGGTGTTTCCCCACATGCAGAATCATAATGTTTGGGTAGGTAATTTTTGTACTAACCAAGGCTAGCCAAATTTCAGGCTTATTGCTCAGCCAATGGACCATGACGGCACAACAGGCCAAAATGATCTCCAGCAGCAGAGCTCACAGTTGCCACCATATTCCTGATTGTGCTCAATTTTGTTTCCTGGGAATGGGACAGCGGGAAAATCCAGTGCTCTGCATATAATTTGTCTTTCCCTCCCTTCACAGTTCCAGAGACCGCAGCATCACTATCCGCCTCTGAGATTTGGTACTGTTCCCAATGGGAGCACTGAGAAAAACATTCGGAATAACTATGGGGAGATGCATGAATATATGGGAAAGTATAACCAGCGCAGTGTGGAAGATGCACTCCACAACCTGCAGACAGGGTAAGTAGTAAAGAAGGGGAAATGAAGAAGGAGGAGGTCAGGGGTAGGACATGGGCAAGGTCCTTTCCTTTCAATGTTTATCTTCACCTTTCATTCATAACTCTGTTTCCTGAGAAGATAGTCTGTGAGGGGCTAACCCAGGCATGGGCAAACTTCGCCCCTCCAAGTGTTTTGGACTTCTACTCCTACTGGCTGTTAGGAATTGTGGGAGTTGAAGTCCCAAAACACTTGGAGGAGCGAAGTTTGCCCATGACTGGGCTAACCTAAAATATTTTGCTTCTTGAGCTACAGCAGCAAATGGTCCCTATCCCCCACCCACCCACCGCAGTCAAAGTTCATAGTATCCTAGTGAGCCATGTTATTTTGGCACCTGAACTCTCCAACATGAAACACAATGGTAGTCTCACATTGTTCCTCCCTTCCTGGCAATGGACAAGATGCAATGGTATAATTAGGTATTCAGTGCCAGGGGAATTGGGCCATTCTTCCCATCTCCTTCCCAATGCAGATCTCTATGTTGCCCAAATCCTAGTTTCTCAGGCCTCTGTGGTTGTTTTTTATGGTGCATAGAGGAGGGGTTGCATAAAGAGGGAAGAGAAGTGGTAGGATCCAGAAAAAATAAATATACTACCATGAAAAATTCAATAATTAGGAATGTTCTGTTCTTTTGTGACATACTCTTGTGGTAGGCAGTTGTCTCACTCTGCCTAATGGCAGGTCTGGCTATGGCTTTGTGGAAGGCGCATAAAACAGCACTACAAGGATCCCAAGATTTTTTGCATACCATTCTTTTCCCTACATCCTATACTCCCTATATCGGTCCATGAGGCCTTATCTATTTGATGAACTCATATGGTTGCGCTTGGGGTGCAATAGTAACTAAAAGATTTCTGTGCTTCCTCCTTCCTGCACCTGTGATAGTACATGAATGGCTCCAGTGAAAGCTCTGCAAAATGTTTCTGTGTGAGTGTCCTGAGTGGTTAAGTGTGTTGGAGGTAGCTGGTGACATGGAGAACTTTTCTGCTCACACCATACTGTTGACCATGTAAGAAGCATAGTGGCTAATTTTTACTAAATAAGTCTTAAAGGTAAAGGTAAAGGTTTCCCCTGACGTTAAGTCTAGTTGTGTCCAACTCTGCGGGGTGGTGCTCATCTCCATTTCTAAGCTGAAGAGCTGGCATTGTCTATAGACACCTCCAAGGTCATGTGGCCAGCATGACTGCATGGAGCGCTGTTACCTTTCCGCCAAAGCGGTACCTATTGATCTACTCACATTTGCATGTTTTAAAACTGCTAGGTTGGCAGAAGCTGGGCCTAACAGTGGTAGCTCACCCTGCTCCCTGTATTCAAACTACCAACCTTTCGGTCAGCAAGTTCAGCAGCTCAGCGGTTTAACCCACTGCACCACCAGGGGACCCCAAATTAAGTCTTAGGCAATGTAATAATTGGCCAGTGAACCAACTATATTTTCAGGAACGGGCATAGGAAAAGTCACTTTGAAAGAGAAAAGAGCACTGCCTTCATTTTTACTAGATAATGGACCCATGTTTTGTACAACAGACTTCCTCTCAGAAGAGGCACTCCAATTGCTTATGCCAAAGGGAATGCTTCTCCCATGATGGCACATACAATGTGGGTGTGTGTATATACATTGCTTTATTAAGCCTTTTTAATGAAACTAAAATGTTCGTAATGGATTTTATCTAACCAATTAATCAAAGAGGCCCAGCTTAAGACATTTGCTTGTCTGGGCGGGGGGGGGGGGGGGGGGGGGGGGAGTAGTAAATGGCGCTTCCCAACCCACCCGAGTCCAGGTGCCTAGTATCCACAGCCAGGCATGTTATTTTGGCATAGGAGGCAGAAAATCTTTCAAGGGTTTCTTGAAAGCACGAACAATACAATAATAAGATTGTGAATAACTGTCAAGTTGCTGCTCTTTTGTGACACCCCAAATCTACTGGTTGAGACAGCTGCCAATGACAGGGACATTCCTGATGAGATTGCAGCCCTCTGCTCATTTACAGAGGAGAGTCTCCTTCCAGGTAAATAGATCATGTTAAATTCTTCAGAGGCTGTGCATGGCTTCCATGCATAATTGGTGAACAAGTGTTTGCATAGCCCCGGTAGCTGCTGTATATGCCAGCAAGAATGCCCTCCTACTGTTTCCCATAACAGCACTCCTGTGAACATCTATGGATGCCTACTGGCTCATTTCATAAATAAACCAACCAGACAAGTCCACAGTGAGGCATGCTATGTAGGATTGAGCTATGTCATCATGCTGTTAATGAGACTTCTGCATGGGGGTTTTGTATGTGAACTGGTGGGCACTTGTGACTTAAATATTATTTTTCACTGATATAGGAGTGCTTTATAGCTTAGCTTGTTTGAGCAGCCTTTGGAGGACTGGGATTCTCACTGCTACCAATTTAAAAAGCCAGTTGGCTGGATTACGGGATGTGTGATTTGTCTTTTAACCCTGCCTACTCAAGATCGTAAACGCATGTCTCACTAATTTACCTAGCCAACTTTATTCTGCTAGTGCAGAGAGAGAAAGGAATAAATGTCTTTGAATCCTGTATCAAATCCTGCCAGTGGTTGCACTGGCTAGAGAATTTTTGGAGCTGTAGTCAAAAAGTAATTACTCAAACTTAAGTTTTCTCTCTTTCTCACTAATGTGTGTGTGAATTGAGATCTCTATTTTCCTGACAACCATGCATTTTAAAGGGATGGAAAAAGCGTTTTATTTATTTACTCCTTTGTATTGCAATAAGGTTTGTTAAAACGTTGTCAATATCAAATGATTTTGAATGTGTGCCATTAAAACAAGTAGGGTTGCCCATTAGACTGCAAGTTTACTGGTTCAGACAAATAATGTTTATGGGATGTTCAGATTGGAATCCTGTGAAGACTATAGATGGCAGTTTCTTCTAAGCATGCTGCTCTATCCCCAAAGTGGGCCTAATTCTCTATCCTGAACTGCCTTTTTTTGCTCTGGTTTCAGTCCTGGAGCCTCCATCCTCATTACTTTTGTCCACTCCTTACCTACTGTGAACCAACATATGTTTCCATTGAAAAAAGAAAAGCCTTACTTACTTGGCCGATCCCTCATAGCTTAAGGATAATAGTCCTCCAAGTATAGTGTCCTGGCAGCGGGTCTGCAGGTGGCTGTGGAGCCCCACTCTTGAGTCGCATGTTCTCCTGTAGTGAGGACATTGGTTTCCAGGAGGAAGGCTGTCCTGGTAAGGGTTGGCTTTACATGCCTTCCTCTTGCCATGTTTCTCCCTTTGTGCCTCTTTGAATTCTGCAGTACTGCTGGTCATAGCTGACCTCCAGTTAGAGTGTTCAAGGGCCAGGACTTCACAGTTCTCGGTGTCTATGCCACAGTTTTTAAGGTTGGATTTAAGCCCATCTTTAAATATCTTTTTCTGTCCACCAACAAAACATTTCCCATTCTTGAGTTGGGAGTATAGTAACTGCTTTGGGAAACGGTGATTGGCATTTGGACAATGTGGCCAGTACAGCTGAGTTGATGACATAGGATCATCGCTTCAAAAAAGCCTATAGTTGAGATAACATGAGCTCTGGTTGTCTCTACATTTTAACCTTTCCTTTGTGTCCTCTTTGGGGACACTTTTATGGTAATCCTGCCTGCTGTTCAGTCTGGTCCAGCTAGAATTTTATGGACCATTTCACTATGGCAGATCCCATCTAGATCTTGGAGGACCAGCTCTGGTTAGTATTGGCATGGGAGACCACCAGCAAATGACAGCTGCTAAAGGGTATATCACAAAAGCAAGGGGCTGCTGAAACCACCTCTGTATATTCCTTACCTAAGAAAAGCCTATGAAATTCATGAGGCTGCCATAAATTGAACAGGCAACTTGAAAAAAGACACAGAAGGAGTATTTAGAAGGCCGTCTATACCCACAATTGCCTTTTGCTGCAGCAGCCAACACTTCAGCTTCCCCCCACCCCCTCACATCCTTCCTATATTAGGATTTAAGTGTTAAGTTCCCCACCTTAAAATTAGTAGGCTGCTCTTTAATGTGTTTTGGAAATGAGTTCCTTCTTATTAAATCCTGTCACACATTTTCACAACTACCACTCTTTTGCTTGCCTTTGTAAAAAGTTAAAAAGACGGCTGATTGTAGTAACTTCTTTCTAATCAAGCACTCAATCAGATTCTGTTTAGGAGTGTAAAATACAGTGTACAAAGAAGCAGAAATGGAACAAAGATGTCTAGATAGAAATTGATAACTATACAATCGGGAAAATATTCCTTTTGGGGGCTTTATCTCCTAAAATCCTTCAGTCAGTGCAAAGTCAGTAGAGCCCCCGGTGGCGCAGTGGGTTAAACCCTTACGCCAGCAGGACTGAAGACCGACAGGGGGAGAGTGCAGATGAGTGGATGAGCAGATGAGCTCCCTCTGTCAGCTCCAGCTCCCCATGTGGGGACATGAGAGAAGCTTCCCACAAGAATGGTAAAACATCAAAACATCAGGGTGTCCCCTGGGCAACGTCCTTGCAGATGGCCAATTCTCTCACACCAGAAGTGACTTGCAGTTTCTCAAGTTGCTCCTGACACGAAAAAAAGAGTACAGTACTGCAGGAGACCAAAATAAAGATGGCATGAAACTAAAATGCAGTTTTAGCACTAAAGCTTCCCTCTCCCCCTTCTCCTGGTTATTGAATGAATCTTCTCTTAACAATTGCAAAAAGCTTTTGTTGATTTAATGGGAAAATTAGTCATGTAATAAAATCTGTGCCCTGAGGTCAACTGGTCAGACGGAGAATCAACAAAGGCTCAGCATTACTGGCATTACTGAAGGCCACACTCTTGGGCAGGCCACCAAGATGGGTCTTCTGGGTCCCAACTCCAGCCTATATTATGTCTGAGGACAAAGAAGCAATTTTGCTGTGTTTTAGCAGGCTTGTTTTCTGCTGCCCTGGAGACTAGGACGTGGAACAATGGCTTTAAACTACAGGAAAGGCGATTCCACCTGAACAATAGGAAGAATTTTCTGATTGTGAGAGCTGTTCAGCAGTGGAACTCTCTTCCCCGGAGTGTGGTGAAGGTTCCTTCTTTGGAGGCTTTTAAGCAGAGGCTGGATGGCCATCTGTCAAGGGTGCTTTGAATGTGATTTTCCTGCTTCTTGGCGGGGGGTTGGACTGGATGGCCCATGAGGTCTCTTCCAACTGTATGATTCTATCCCATTACAGTTTGGTATCCAAAGCTAGCTACTATTTTTCTTCCCTGATGAATTACAAGCATTTCTTCCCAACAAGCTGTAAGAACCACTGAAACTAATAGTTCTCTGTTGAAAACATTGTTAAGACTTTTTTAAAGTTCTCTTTTAGCAGTACTGATGGCTCTTGAATATTGCTTTGTTATTTAAAAGCACTCTGGTGTGTTGTGGCCAGAAAAGAAGTGATTATGGAGGAGTTTTCCTTTCTAACTGTGAATGTTAGCAATTGTTTGTAAGATGGTGAAAGATCTTGCACTTAAAGCAAGCTGTCCTTATCCCTCAAGGATGCCCTCTGTTTGTTTCAACATGAATAAATTTAGTGGTAAGAAAAAGATCTGTTAAAAGCCAGATATTTTGATTCAGTGAGATATAACTCAGCCACTGTCCCTGCAGGTGCTGCATCCAATACTGCGCTTGTCTCTCTATCTCTGTCTGTGTTGATTATTTGACTGCAGGAAGCTGGATGCCTTCATTTATGATGCAGCTGTCCTCAACTACATGGCCCGCAAAGAAGAAGGCTGCAAACTTGTCACCATAGGAAGTGGCAAAGTCTTTGCTACCACAGGGTACGGCATTGCGTTGCAGAAGGGATCCAAATGGAAACGGCCCATTGACCTGGCCTTGCTCCAGTTTCTAAGTGACGGTAAGGCTAGAGATAGTGCTGGGAAGTTGAGGCTGGTGCCAAAACACTCAGGTTTTCTGGATAAGAAACAGAGGCATCGAAACGTGAAATGTAGAATAGGTAGTGCTGATCTCTCTCCCCCCGCTACTAAACAAGAGGTGTTGGAGAGGAGAAGTGTCTGAAATGTGGCGTATTTCTTATTGTTTTGCACCGAAAAGTATAGTTGGCTCTCAACATTTGCACAGGACTCCTGTACAAAGGAAACAGGAATACTGTGTCCAGTTCTGGGCACTGCAGTTGAAGGGAGGTGCTACAAGCTGAAATGCGTCCAGAGGAGGGTGGCTAAAATGATCGAGGGTCTGGAGAACAAGCTCTGTGAGGAGCGGCTTAAAGAGCTGGGCATGTTTTGTCTGTGGAAGAGAAGGCTGAGAGGAGACATGATGAGGGCCATGTATAAATAGTGAGGGGAAGTCATAGGGAGGACGGAACAAGCTAGTCTAATGCTGCCCTGGAGACTAGGACAAGGAACAATGGCTTCAAACTGCAGGAAAGGAGATTTCACCTCAACATTAGGAAGAGCTTCCTCACTGTGAGAGATGTTCAGCAGTGGAATTCTCTGCCCCAGAGTGTGGTGGAGGCAACTTCTTTGGAGGCTTTTAAGCAGAGACTGGATGGCCATCTGTCGGGGGTGCTTTGAATGTAATTTTCCTGCCTCTTGGCAGGAGGTTGGACTGGATGGCCCACAAGGTCTCTTCCAACTCTATGATTCTAAGCACAAATATCTCTACTCCATATTTAACATGAAAGAGTACCTGTACTTGTAGGGTGGGTGAGCCTGGCCATCCCGGAAACCCCACACACCAATATCTCAGACATACATTTACAATCAGTCATAAACTCCAGTATCAAAGACTTCCAATTACCTCTCAGAACTTCTAAATGGTATGTGTTCCCTACTTGGATCGATGGGCAGGAACTCCCTCATATGCTTCCTATTAAAACCCTGGGAGCAGGGGACTTAAGTGGTTCACCTTCAGTAAGACAGAACATTCCTTGTCCTTACCTAGAAAATATGTAATAATCTTGGTTATCTGTGCCTGGACTCTGATTAATTTCCTTTTAACATATTTTAACAATTCCCTTATGGTTGCCAGTTGGGGTTGTTAAATACAGCACTAGGTGTTCTCCCAGTAATGAGAAGTCCAAAGGAGCACTGTATGGTTAAGTTTCCTTCTGATAAAAGAGTATTACAGGCATATGGGGGGGGGGGGGTTTGTAATAAAATCAGTTTGATTTATGAATACAGTAGAATGGGGAGAAAATGGGCGCTCCTTGAACTGACATAAAATCCACTCAATGTATACTAGATGTCCAGAAAGAGAGACTCTACACTCAAGCCCGCTTCACCTTCAGCCACAGTTCGCAGTTCTATCTCCCTGTCCCACTTCAAAATGCAAAGTGCCTTCTTACTGTCTCTCTGTCTCTTCATCAGATTTTTATGGCTGTTGAATTTCCAAGGCTGAAGAGAGATTCAATGTCATTACAAGGTGTCATTACACATTACACAAATCTAGAACTTTGCTACCACGTTAACTGGCATGGCTCCAGCCTATGCAATTTGGGGATTTGTACTTTGAGCAGGGACTTTCCATTCTCAGTCAGAGATTCTAATACCAAAGAGAGAGTGTTTGAAAATTCCAAGTCTTTCATCAAATTACACAGTCTATTAAAAACTACTTGTCAAATCCATCATCAGCCATTCATTTCTCAGGTTAAACTAGAGCAAAAGACCCAGGGTTGTTAAGCAATGAAGCCCACTCATATCATTTACCAGCAAAAGCACTGTTTCATTGTATTTTGTGTATATTTATTTCTGGGGACAGAAGGAGAAGAATTTCAAATCCATATGTTCAAATTTCTGAGAGTTACATGATCCCTGCTAGTGGCACCTGGTGGCTTCCATATCAGTGACGTAGTGAGTCTATACCAGGTTTTAATCCAAATTTTAAGAAGCTATCTAAAGCACGGTACACTATCTGCAAAGTGGTTTAATGCTTTTTGGCTCCTAAATTTTTGGACCAAAGTAGAATTACTACCTTACACAGAAGCCACAAGTGGCCACTTAATTCCCACAGATGTACTAATGGAGCTGCCCCGAAGCTGAGACCGCCAGGCTGAAAGTGAACGAGGGCCTCTTACCCCTGCCAGTGGGTCATCGTATTCACATTTTTTCCCACCTGCCCTGAATTCCTTTCAGCAGCCCTGCAGATGGATGGGGAACACATCTTCCTGTTTGTTTCTGGATTAATTAATCCAGAATGGAAAGTAATAGGAACCCCAGGAGAGACATGGGGCCCAGTAGGTTTGAGCCTGGAGGTCTGTGAGCCAGGTCTCCTGGGAGAGAAAGGCAAGCCTCAGTGGGCTAGGTTTGGAGCAAAGGCGATGGAAGACTGACATCCTGCTTTCTATTTCTAGCTCTGAGGATAATGAGCAGACACAGTTCTGGCCTGTTTGATCTGAGATGAGGAACCTGAATTCCTCTCTGCGGCTGCTAATGGGCTTGGTCTGAGGCTCTAATTGCCGTTAGCCAACACTCCTGCTTCTCCTAATAAGCCCACCTGATGCTGGAGATCCTCAGAGAAAGGGACGCTGGACTTTCCTGCCCCTCTATATAGGGCATGCCAGCAAATATTGAGGAAGGGGGTTGAGTTTCAGGTGGGTCTCCCAGTGTCCACAGTGTTTAAATCAGATTGCCTTTGTTGTGTCTCTTAAGCTGAATAGGAAAGTGGTATGGCTTTCTCTCTCCTGCTTTCAGTGGTTAACCTTCAGAGAAGCATTCAAGATGTAAAGGTGTTCCCTCTGCACTTGTAGAAAAATGCCTTCTTGTGAGATGTCATAAAGGTGTTTTGGAGGAGAGAGTATGGGCCCTTCCACACAGCCCTATATCCCAGAATATCAAGGCAGAATATCCCACAATATCTGCTTTGAACTGGAATGTATGGCAGTGTGGACTCAGATAACCCAGTTCAAAGCAGATATTGTAGGATTTTCTGTATTGATATTCTGGGATATAGGGGTGTGTGGAAGGGCCCTGGAAAGGTAGCTTTGTAGAATCTGGATCGGTTACAGTGAATGACTAAAATGGGCTTGATGATAGCAAATCAGATGGTAGCACCAGGTGAATTTGGTGAATGCTGCAAACACACACATCTTGTAGGGCAAACTAGACAATGTTGATGGTTCCAATGCTGCCTCCAAATTTTTGAATATTCGCAATATTTTTGTGGTTTTCACCAGATCTACAGTAATATTCAACATATTAGGGCATATGTTGGGGGGTTTTTTTTAATACATAGAGGGGTGTGAAGATGTGTTTATGACAAAGATGGTATTTCTTGCACTCTGCCCATCAGTTTGGAATTCTTCAGTGTTTGTGCATATGTTGCATATGTACCATACTGAGGACTATTGGGTATTCATGCCACGTGCTTGCAAGAATGTGTGTGTATATGTGCTTCAGAGAGCCTGTCACTTGGGTGCAAGAGAGCACACGTACGTATCGTTGCAAGGTTTCATATGGGGGGGGGGGCGGTGAAGAACAGTTGCCTAGCAACATACCCATCTACTACTGCATGGCTCCTAATCCTAAACTGGATTACGAATCACAGACATGGGGGCAATGATGAGAAAAGAACAATCTCTTGTAACTGTAACCATGAGTAGGAGAGGATAGTTAAATGGTGTTAAGAAGTAAGTACTTTGCATTAAGTGATCGTTGAGTGTGCACTATGAGAACAAGATTGTTCCCCCGTCTTCTTAACCTCCTCTATCAAGTTATTTCATGATGCTTGGTAATGACAGCTTTTGGGTCACTTGAGATCTCCCACATCAGTAGGAAGGTATTTACGTTTTCTAAGAGGACAGTACTGCCTAATGTGTCATGCTCAGCAAGTTTTATTTTCTGGACTATATCCTCAGATCACCACTGACCATGGAGCTCCCAGTGGCGCAGTGGGTTAAACCCATGTGCTGGCAGGACTGAAGACCAAGAGGTCACAGGTTCGAATCTGGGGAGAGGCAAATGAGTTCCCTCTATCAGCTCCAGCTCCTCATGCGGGGACATGAGAGAAGCCTCCCACAAGGATGATAAAAACATCAAATCATCCTGGCGTCCCCTGGGCAACGTCCTTGCAGACGGCCAATTCTCTCACACCAGGAGTCACTCCTGACACGACCAAAAAAAAAAAAACGAAAAACAACCCACTGACCATGCTGGCTAGGAGATTCTGGATTTGTAGTCTAAGGAAGGAACTTTTCCAAATTCTGCCATTGAGCCACAGTGTGGAAAGGCTAGGAGAGGTGCATCTCCTGAGTATATCCCATCTTTTTCCTCTCTCTCTATCCATCCCTTCTTTTCAGATGAGATTGAGCTGCTGGAGCGCTTGTGGCTGTCGGGGATTTGTCACAATGACAAAATTGAGGTGATGAGCAGCAAGCTGGACATAGACAACATGGCTGGAGTCTTCTACATGCTCCTGGTGGCCATGGGGCTGAGTCTGCTGGTCTTTGCCTGGGAACACCTCATCTACTGGAAACTGCGGCACTGTATGAGACACACTGGGCGGCTGGACTTCCTGCTTGCCTTCAGCAGGGTGAGAAAGCAGGGCAGGGAGCCCTTTGCCCATGGGTTCATTCACATACAAACTCTTTTGCCAATAAATATCTGTTTCTTCATCCTCTGGAAATAATGTCCTACTTCTCAGAACTTTTCACTCTTCTTTCAGAGCTTATTTGATCACATTGCACAAGTATTGAAATTTGTCCTCTATATAGACAGCGGCATTCTTACAATCTCAGCTTTTGCTTTTTTTAAAAAAAAAATCTAGGTTTTATAACTGTGAAATAATAAGTTTGAGAATGGGAAGGAGGATAGTGTGACAAGAAGGGGGAGAAAAAGCTCTAGAACAGACATGGCCAAACTTGGGCTCTCCAGGTATTTTGGACTTCAACTCCCACAATTCCTAACAGTCAGTAAGCTGTTGGTAGTTAATGCACATTTCAAACTATTTTCTGTTGGTCATGAGGGTTCTCTGTGGGAAATGTGGCCCAGTTCTCTCATTGGTGGGGTTCAGAATGCAATTTGATTGTAGGTGAACTATAAATCCAGCAACTACAACTCCCTAATGTCAAGTTCTATTTTCCCCAAACTGCACCAGTGTTCACATTTGGGCATATTGAATATTCATGCCAAATTTGGTCCAGATCCATCATTGTTTGAGTCCACAGTGCTCTCTGGATGTAGGTGAACTACAACTCCCAAACTCAAGGTCAATGCCCAACAAACCCTTCCAGAATTTTCTGTTGGTCATGGGAGTTCTGTGTGCCAAGTTTGGTTCAATTCCATTGTTGATGGAGTTCAGAATGCTCTTTGATTGTAGGTGAACTATAAATTCCAGCAACTACAACTCCCAAATGACAAAATCAGTCACCCCCCAAACCCCACCAGTATTCAAATTTGGGCATATCAGGTATTTGTGCCAAATTTGGTTCAGTGAATGAAAATACATCCTTCAAAGGCATGTAGCTGGGGGGGGGGGGGGGCTTGGGGGGCTTCAGCCCCCCCCCCCCCCGAAATTCTCATGGTGGTCTGCGAGAAGGCCTTACTGGTACATTATTTAAACTGTTATGTTTATTCATATCATGATCTGATCACCATACTCAATATATCCCATATGCATGGGGGTATTGGGGTAATGATACAAAAGGTTTGCTAGGGTAGACCCTCTTTCACCCAGACTCAGCCCCCCCCCCCGAAACCCCCCTAAAAACAAACTACAGCCTGATCCTGCATATCAGATATTTACATTATGAGTCATAACAATAGCAAAAATACAGTTATGAAATATCAACAAAAATAATGTTATGGTTGGGGGTCACCACAACATGAGGAACTGTATTAAGGGGTCACGGCATTAGGAAGCTTGAGAAACAGTGGCACAGAGAGAAATCTCCTCTGTAGAACTGAGCTTGAGGAAAATTCATTCTTCATGTCTATATTAGGTATGTTTGTATGCCTGCCTTCAAATTACCTGTTGATTTATGAATTTTATAGAGTTTATATTAGGCAAGGAATATTCGGAGGTGTGTTTGCCAGTACTTTCCTCCAAAATATAGCCTGCAGCAGGTAGTATTTGTTGTCGGCCTCTCATCCAAATAATAACTAGGGCTGACCCTGTTTAGCTTCCAAGATCAAACAGGATCTGGTGCCTTTAAGGCAGTTGGGGAGAATGCTAATTGGCTGGCGCCTTTGATGTCACAAACCTACCTCCCTGCAGCAGTTTCTGAATTGGGTTTCTTCTTAAATTAAGTTTTTAAAAAAGGATCTTCAGTTGAATGAATCTATATGTTGCACTTCAAACAATTAGGGTAGGGAGGGGGAGTAGATGCCTTGTATGAATTTAAAAGTCATGTTCGCTGACACCAGACGTGTAGGGAATGGCTTTGCCTATTTAGCAAAGGGGTATTAGCACATTCTTCTCATAATGGATACAATATAAATTTAAACAACTCTAAGCCCATTAAATGAGAGTTCCCAATGAGAAAATCCTGAGTATTCTGTTCTCTGAAATGACTGGGGATGATTAAAACGAAATTTGCAGTGTCCTCAAGAATGCAGTTCCTGTGGTTAAGATTGGAAGGTTTGTGGGTATATGGAGCTGGCGGGGGTGCATGTGTGTATGGAGAAACTAGGGTAGTTAATGCACATTTCAAACTAGATTAAATTTGTAGTGTAGCATGGTGAAGTTAACAGGCCATCCCCTGGGCAGATTCAAAACAGATTCTCATGAGTCAGAGCGCAAATTGAGTTCTGTATAGTTCTCATTTGCATATGTTGATCACTTTAAATACAGATTAAAAATTGCCTCTGCTCCTCACTGAGGCAAAGATTTATTTAAAAAAGAAACCACTCAGCCAGATGGCAAAAATCCCACCCAACCCTCTGATTCTTCTACCTGTTTCCACTGTCTCTCTTTTGACTCCTTTTTGATCTTCATGGTGTCAATTTGTCCACCTGTATTTCTCCTCTCATCTCCGTCTCCTCCTCTCCCCTTCCCTCCATCCACTGCCAGAGTGATCCTTCTCTGGAATCCATGACCTACAGTGAAGGACAAACTCAGCCTCTCGGGGTGGGAGGGAAGGGTGCTCTCTGTCAACAGGAGAAGGCGGCTCATGGTGGGAGCCGATCTGGCTTTGCATTGCAGGAGGGAAACTGTGAATGTGTGTGTATAAGAGAAAGAGAGATGTGTGGTAAAGAATCCCCTCTCTTACTGCCCTGGTACATTTAACATAGATCTTAAAAGAGAGACTTCACATTATATTTTTGGGGAAGTATTCTTAAAGAGAAGTCTATTGGGAGTGCAAACATTCAGGATGAGTGTTCTCCAAATGTAGATTGTGGACTTGCATGATCACTAAAGCAGAAATTGTGGTGACTAATCTGGGCCTGGTTACCTGTGTTCAGGGCAGAGACTTTTTGTGTGTGTGTGTGTGTGTGTGTGTGCGCGCGCGCAAACACACAAACTGGATTATGGGAGGAGAATGGCTTGGGGAAAGATAACATAGGAAGAAGGGTAGATGAGGAACCTTAGATGCACTTGTCTGTAATTCACACTACTCCTAATGAGATTTGCTGTTGTATAAAGTAGAGAGGGGGAAAATGGGCACATCATGACTGTGAAACGGAGAGGAATCCTTATAATGCTGTTCAAAAGATCCATTTTACTCACAGCATGCAATATAAATAATGATGACTTTGTTCTACATCAATGGTTCTCAACCTGTGGGTCCCCAGATGTTTTGGCCTTCAACTCCCAGAAATCCTAACAGCTGGTAAACCGGGTGGGATTTCTGGGAGTTGTTGGCCAAAACATCTGGGGACTCACAGGTTGAGAACCACTGTTCTACATGGATCCTCTTGTGGGAGGAGTATCATGCACAAAACCCTTCATTAAACTAGCACTGTACTGCGACATCTTCTATGTTATTCTGTACAGCCAGACAAGTAGTATCCTGCCAATAGCTACCTAATTTGTATGTCTTTTTTCCATTCACCCCAGGGTATGTACAGTTGCTGCAGCAGTGAAGACCCAAAAGGTCCAGACCAGCAGCAGTTGCCCATCCTCAACCACACGTATGGGCCTTCACGAGGGGCAGCCCCAGCCTTGCCCAGTCCCCCTGGCCCTCCACTTCCTTGCTCCAGCTTCCTGCCCCGTGAACGGCGCATTGTAGAGCGGTGGCGCCATGCCCGGAGCCCCAATTGCTACAAGGATCTCTTCCCTCCGACACCTGCAGAGCTCCCCACAGCTAAGCCTCCACGCCACAGCCTCAAGAGTCCTTTCTCTGATGGCTTCCACCGGTTCTATGGCCCCATTGAACCTGAGGGGCTCTCCGATCATGTGAGTGGCAAAAAGATGGCACCCTGTCAGCTTTCTCCACCACCTCCTTCCCGTGGGCTGGAAAATCCTCCTTCCTATTTTGCCATTGTTCGTGAAAAAGAGTCTCCTGACATGCCACCAGCAGCATCGGGCTGGCAGCGTAAATCCCTCCGAGGCTTGTATGAAAGTTTCCAGGCTGGGAAAGGGGCTGGTCGGGCCCCAGAAGTGAAAAAGTATGATGGCCCCTCCAGTAGCTATTCCACCAAAAGCCCTTGCGACTTGGAAAGGGGCAGTAGCCGGCCTTTTGGGAAAGAACGGAATCGATATGGCTACACCCGACTGTCTTACGAAGATGAACGCTCCCCACCTGTTCCCCGTTATCGGCACACTGAAGAAACATCTCTGCCACGAACTGAGCCAGAAACCAAATGCCCAACATCGAGCCGAGAAAGGAGTTCCCGGGCTCATATTTGCCGCAGTCATTCCCACCCCCTTGCCGTTGGTGCCAGTTTGCGCAGCCAAAGTCATTACGTGGACTTTTCGGATTCTGATTCTGATATTTGTGAGAGGGACAGTGATGGCCATAGCTGCTGGTACCAGTCGCCGGATTATTTCTGCACGTACCCATCCCGAGAGAGGCAGTTGTTCGCCACCCACAAGCCTCTGCACTACTGGTCAGCTGACAAGCTGGCAAAATGCCATGGATGCCACGGTCCCTGCCAGCACTGCCTGAGCTTGGAAATGCTCCCACCGCCTACCCCACCGTGCCGCAAGGAGGCCTTGCACTACTTGAGCTGTTCTGAGGAGCGTCTGGAACGCCGGCTGGACTGGGAGCACCGCCACTGCAGCCTGTATGGCTGCATGGCTTCTCGGCACCGCCACGGCTTCCACCGCCGTTGCCACCATCATTCCTGCGATCTGGGGCCAGCGGGTGGAGTCCTTCACCCCACCTCCCGCAGCCTGGAGGACCTCAGTTCCTGCCATATGATGCGCTGCGGGACCTCCCATCGACACCAGGGTGGCTTCTCGCCAGAGTGGCTGCCACGCCGGGTGAGCCGGAGCGGAGAGCTTTTTGCTCGACGTGGCTCAGCCCATTTCTCCAGCCTGGAGTCAGAGGTATGACCAGCGACAGGTGGGGTGGGAGTAGGGTGGGGGGTGGGGAAAGACACTTTGGATGAGACCACAGGAAAAAAAAGATGTTGGCTGAGCCGTAGTTGAGCCCATCAAGCGGGGACAGAGATGGTGGCAATGGCACTGTGGCCCAACCCATGGAATGAAGGTAGTCCCATGAAGATGACTGCAGAGAGGGGGAAGCAGAAAAGTGCCAGAAATGAACCCACCAAGACAAAGGGCATGCAACCTGGATGCCACCAGGAAGATTTGGCTTAGCGCCACTTCTCCCTGCCACAGAGAAGGGGAATTGTTCAACCAAAAGAGTATCACAGATAAACACCACAGTGGGGACTGAAACTACCAATAATCCCATCAAAAACAGAAGTGGGGAGTGGAGATGACCTCTCAGAGAAGGGGAACAACTCCCTGCTTCTGCTACCCCAAGTGCCACCAGAATAGCTCCCTGTGACAAATCTCCCGGTCTCTTCCACCAGCCAATTTAGGGCAGGGGGTAAGAGGGGGAGCTGTTCCCGCCTGTGTTTCCATAACAGACCTTTTATATCCAGAACAAGGGCTTTCCTGCCACCCTGTGGCATCTTGATGGGGTGGGTTCCCGTGGCCAGTAGTAACTGGCAACTGTAACAGCAGGGCTGTTTCCCTCTGAACAAGACCCAAGAGAAGGCCACAGAAACAAACCAGTTGTGGACATGGAGGGGGTCTGTGTTTCCACACAGGCTGGTGCAGGGGAAATGTTCCACCGGTCAGGCTCCAGGGAAGAGACGGGAAGGGCTTCGATGGCAACCACCACACAACTGTCTGGACTTCTGGGCGGGAGGGATGTTAGGAGACAAAACTGTGACTTTGTTCTACAGAAAACTGTGATAATTTTTTCCTGCACATTTTCCGCTTCCTCTTTTCCCTTCTCGCTTTCTTTGCTCTTCTCACCTGTATTTCTTCTTTCTCCAACTCCACTTCCCGCTTTCAGTCTTGCTATCATGCACTCGCCAACAATTATAGAGATAGCAACACATTCAAACACACACCACCAATACCCCAATGCAAACTCACATGCTTGGGTGCTGTGCTGGGCAAAAATAACAAAATAACAGGCTCCCAGACTCACATAGAAAAGTAAGCTCAAATCCCAAAAGGGTTTGTTCTCACAAATCTCATAAACAGTACACTGGCATTCTCAGTGTTATACGACAGTTTTTGTGGAAAATGACAGAAAACATTATTATAGGACTTTTCTGTAGATTGAAAGGGCACTTGCATTTCAAACCAAACAAATGCCTATAGGAAAAACGAAACCTCATGCAATAGAGAGGAAATGCTGCATTCAATCATTACTAAAATCACCATATACTGTCTTAAAGCTGGTCACACCAAGCTGCATTGGGCAAACTGTGGAAGTGGGCATGGGGGAAATACAGGTATTTTCTGTATGAAGTAAGGGGTGAGAATTAGGATGGAATCTTGTATCTTCCTTGTGGGAATAATGCACCTGATGCACATCTTGCACATCTTCCCACAGAAAAAAAATCCTTAAGTTCCTTCTTCGTGTAAGATCCCAGAAGCACGAAAATCGCCTCCTCCAAGTCCAGTATATCCTCAGGACTGGAATTTGGCAGTTTTGTAGAGAACACATGTGTATGTATAAGAAATTCAATGTACTTGATAAAATTAAGGTGCTCCTAAGTGGAGAGCTCCTAGTGCTACCAATCAAAAGACATTGTGCGGTTAATAATCTCTTTGTCTTTGAATCATAAGTTGAGTTGCCTTTGTTGTTAGAGTTGTAAGAAAAAAATAGAAGACATCACGGAAAAACATGGGAGAGTTTCAAGTGCAAGTTAGTGAAGTTTGTAACACACCCTCCCCCCAAAAATTAAGTGTTGGAGCCCAAATGATTGTACAATAAAAGCCTTTGTCTGGAAGCATTCTAACACTGCAGCTGGTTTCAAGGGAAATGTTTGCTCACCAGGCTGGTGACCAATCATGTAACTCATTGCAACAGGATATGTTTACCATCCATGATTGAATTGGCTAGAGTTCTTTTGGAAAGAACAATTTGCCAAAACTACATAGCAATATAAAAGGCTAATAGATAAACTGGAGTGATGCTTGGCATGGTTCTGAACCTAAAAGAACAGGAATTCAAGAGTCACTAAAGGGAACTGAATATTTTAGGCTGTTATGCTGTTTTGAGAGCCAGCGTGGTGTAGCTGTGTGAGGGTTGGATGAAGACTCTGGAGAGCATGTTTTGAATCTCTGCTCAGCCATGGAAACCCAGTAGGTGAACTTAGGCAAGTTGCACTCTCTTGGCCTCAGACTTAAAACCCCATTGAACAAATCATGCCAAGGAAACCCAATGATAGGTTCACTGTAGGATCACAATAAGTTGGAAACCACTTGAAGGTACACAAGAACAACAACAGTGATATTATTTGTATTTTATGATGTTAGATACTTTTTCTAAAGCAGGAATGGGTAACATAAATCTCCTTGTCAGCATTACAATCAAGATTGGGAGCAGTCCTTGTGGAATGAGATAGGGATGACTTTAAGTGTGGGATGGACCAATCCATACTGGTTTTCTCCCAGTGTGCTGAGATCAGAAATAACCACCACAAGGAGAGGAAGGCTTGAGCAAGATTGTGGGAGAAATGGGTAGGATCCTACTCCCACCTAGTCATGCTTCAACATTAATTCTCTCTTGTGTATATGGAAATTTGGCATGACCCACATTTTAACACATGGAACATGAAGTGCTCCTATCAATTTTGCCTATTATCTGAGGGTGTTGGGTTTTTTTTCTTCCACAAGCCTACAACATGGGGATTGCGGAGAAACTAAAGAAATTAACAAGAGGGATGATTGCTGTAGCCAAAGATAGGCTATTCCATATATTAGCCGCAATTCCAAGTAAGTGCAGCATTTGATAGAAGGGACAGATTTCCACATCTCAGGTTTCTGGCTCTTATTGCTGAAAAGATGGTTTAGGAGTATGTGGAGGGAGGGAGCCCTAAACGAAGTCTCCCCTACTGGGTGCGTCCATGTTGGTGGTGGTCTAGCTGTGGGGTTTACTTAGCAGCACCAGTGGGTAACTACAAGTCATCATTTTAAATTTTCTATCTTGTCTCTGATGTGCCATAATTCCAAGGCACAGGGCCATTTTTACCATTTTAATTTATATCAATGACTGAGAGATTTAAAATGAAGCTTGCAGACTTCGGAACATGGTGTGAGGGGCCCAGGGCAGGCCCCTCAGTGATTGTGAATTCTTATCAGGTCCTGAAGCTTCTCAAACTCTATGGGATTTCCATAGGCTAGAGGCCAGGGCTTAAATGCTTCAGTGAATCTCCAGATCTGCTGTGTAAAAAGCGGAAACACAATAAGGCAAAAAGAAAAAAGCAAAGTGTCAGCTAGCATCTTCAATCTGTGAAAATCCCACAGAGTACCAATTGAAGCTTTCCTCAGTGCAGAGAAGGGGCAAACTTTGTGCACAGGTTTTCAGTTTATTAATGAAGACACGCAGGCTCAGAACCAACTTTGAGCTAAACAGGCTACGGGTCTGACCCAGTATAAAGCTGCTTCCCGCTTCTGCATCCTTCCAGAACCAAGGAAGGCTCGCTTGCTCGGCAAGGCCTCGTTTGAAGTGCTGTGTTCAGTTTTGAGCACCTCCGTGCGAGCAGGATGTTGACAAATTGAAAAGGATTCAGAAGAGAGCGGCAAGGATGATCAAAGGTCTGGAAGGCAATTCCTACGTGGAGATGCTTGAAGGAACTGGGTCTGTTTAGCCTCGAGAAAAATAAGATGAAGCAGTGGGTGGGGGGGGGGGGGAGATGTCGGCAGATTTCAAATATTTTAAAAGGTGTCAGGAAGAAGAGAGAGCAGCAGCAGATGGAGAGAGGACAAAAATTACTGAACTTGAAGCAGAGGAAGGTGTCAGGGTGCCATAGTCATTAGATGTGACCGCATTCCTGTTCGTTGTCGGATATGACTGGATTGTGAAGAGATTAAGGGAGCAACAGTGGTTTGGCAATATCTGGTCAGAAAGGGTACAAAGCGACTGTGGTTGAAGTTAAATCAGTCCCCCACTTTCTCTGAGGTGCTAGCATTCTTGCAAACAAGTGGAGTTCTGAGAAGGAACAGTCTAATGTAAGGGCCAGAGAGTTTTTAGAAACCCAGCTGGTACTGAAGACCCCCTACTCAAGCATTCAGCCATAGAACCAACAGGGAGGGGGCACTCTCAAGTGCCTACTTTCAGCTGAGATTTTAGGGAGAATTTAGCAATGTTCCTTTGTTGCACTGCAGCTCCCACATTCACCTCGCCGGTGGATTCTGAGTGTTGCAGTTGGAAAAATGAAATATTTCTCCAAGGTAAAACTTTAGGCATACAGGGATGTCCTGTCTCAGGGCTGGGTCTGGATCAGAGGGCTGACAAAGCCCCTCCCAACCCTTAAAAGTTCTCCAATACAGGGGCAGGAAGAGCAGCATATGTCCTGGTGCCAAAGTGTGCCATTGCTCCCAAACCAGTGCACACACTGCCAATAGTGAATCCAGAAGGGAAAAAAACATCCATCGCCTGCCATCACACACAGCCACAGTCAAGCACAAAGGCATACAAGCACATACCAAACTATCATGCCAGCAAGTAGGGTAATGAACCTCCGCAAATAAAATTCACTGTCACGCAAGATGTTGTGCATTAAGGTGCAGCTTAATGCAGCATGCACAGCAAGAAAAAAGGAACACTAATTTTCAAAAAAATATTGCAAGCACATGGTCTCCATTACAGATGCCAGGAGACAAGACTGCTGTCACACATGCTTGCAGAATCTCAAAGGAACTCAAAACTCACACATCTACCAGTCCCATTAGCAGGCATATTTCAAAGAGCCGTGTTAAGGCTGCAGCATTATTGATGTTGTTCCTGCACAGAGAGATGTGTACGCTGTCATCTGTGAAATGTGGCAAAAGCGCTCCTACTGTTGCAAGCCCAGTGGGTCTGGAAAATGTGTCACATATATGTGGAATCTGTGGCCTGGCCTTCACAGCAGAAAAGGGTGCTGTGGCACCCAAGAGTGGAACACATTTGTTGAGACACAAAATTCTGCAGGCAACGTCCTTAGTATTTCATGAAATGCCTAAGGTCCACTGAGAGAGATATAAAACCATAGGCAATTACAGCATACATGAAAAGATGCCGCAGAATTATATGAACACACAAGGGGCGCAGATCAGGTCCTCAAAGACATGAACATAAAGATGCAATCATACATGCAGACTGAAGTTCACATGCAGGCTCCCTCATGTGAACCCACTACCAAAACCACGAGCTCAGTCCCACTCCCAGTTCTGCTTTGATTCTCTTTCTCTCTTTCTCCCTCTCTCTTTCCCTGTGTCTCTTTGTCCCTTTTCCTATTCTGGGGAGGGGGCAATTTAGTAATAACTTTAGAAATGCTGTTTTAGGGAGCGGGGTTGGTGGGTGGGAGCCGTCTTTCTTGGAGTGGGTGGGCTTTCGCTGGGGCGGGGTGGGTAAGTGGGGATATGGGGCAGCGCCCCACACTGGAACGGGGCAGGGTTTGGGTGGGGCAGGGACCCAGGCATCCGCAGAGGGGGTGGGACTGGGTTTTCGATACTATTTTAGGGCGTTCATAAGAAATAAAGGCTTTTTTAATCCCGCTCAGACCTTGCCCCAGTGTGGTTTGTCTGAATCACCAAATCACATCAGGGAATGGAAGTAATATGGTTTCTTGTTTAATGGATATTTTTCTTTTTAGACTGAAGAGCCATGGCTCCCCACAAAACATCCTTCCCATCCTCTGTTCACCACATCCTCCTCCAATTCCACCATAAGACAGTCACAAAAATAAGAAAGGAAACTACTGCCAGCCCGCAGCTCACCTACGTACATATAAATCGCGCACAAATCAGCAAAGATATGCCACTCTGCTTCATTGCCTGAATTATGCAGTATTCAGCGTGCCTTGGCACAGAGTTTGGAATAAGTTGGTGCAGGGTTTTTATTTCAGTGCAGCAGCTTCATAGTTAAATGTCTCCTCTCCCTGGTAAAAAGTCATGGGGCAGTGTGGGACGGTGGTGTGTCCTAAAGGATATTACAGGTACAGACTTTAAAGAGAATCTTGGAGATGTAGGCTGTCTTCATACTAACTGTTTGTTTATACAAACATAGCCTTATTGGAAGCATGCAGATTTTGAAGCAAGCAGCATAACAGCCAATTCTGCATGAAATTCCCAGAAGAACCACACTCTATCTTTAGGCAATCTTAGCTTAAAACAACAACAGCAACAGCAACCTCATGGCTCTCTGACTCCAGATCAAACTTAGTACTGCTAGGGAAGAGAGAAAATTTCCAGGCAGGCAGGAATATAAAGGCTCATATATTACATTCATGAGCACCTATTACTTGCCTGTTCACAGCATCAAAGATTGGCAAGGCACTGCCTATCATGCTCTACAGCAAGGGTTCCCAGCTTATGTGTACGGGGTACCTAATCACAATTGTGGGGGGGTTTGGAAAATATATATGTGAGAGAGAACTGAGCATGTGTTTTCTGTCAACTGCTCCCAATGCCTGTTTATCTCCCTTTGTCCCACTGCTGAGGTCAATTGAGTGATTTCTGAATCCTAAGAATAGAGGGGAGAAAGCTGCAATACTGAATGTGTGAGGAGAGGAGAAGCCTACCTACAGCAATTTTCCTTGGTGGGGAGGGCCCTTCATCACACACACACACACACACGTGATAGCTTCCCACTTCACTTCCAATTGGAAATGTACAGGCAAACTACACAAATCTCTTCAACAGAATGTGAAAGAAGTTCTATCAAAATCTGATGCCGGTAAGAGAAGCACATCAACAACATCAAAGGTCCTCATGTTGTATATTTCTGTGGCAGGGACTGAGATTCCCTACATATCTAGCCATTGCTTAGCATCCCATGCAAAAGAATGGATAAATTACTCCATATACTTGCAGAGAGAGCTAAAATAGCCCAGGTACATGCCTCAGCCAGGCTCTGTTGGCACAGTGGCATCTAGGGATGCTATATGCAGAGAACAGGCTCCATGGTATAACCATGGACATTAGCATCACTTCTCAAGGAGGTAAGTAGGAAAAAAATTCTTAGCAAATGTAGCTCAGAATATTTTAATTCCCTAGCTAAAAAGTACAGCAGAATTGTGAAATTCAAGCTCTCAGCCTCAATTCGGTCTAATTCCAAACAAGAGTTGCTGGCTTTTCCTATCGAGACTCAAATTGAAATGCAATAAATAGTTATTCCATTCTTATTCTGGACATGATTGCAAACATTTTTCAAGTTATTCACTTAGATATGATATTCAACATATTTTAACCCTGTTTTCCTCCAATATATTCTCTTGGACTTCTCCCCTGCCTGCCTGCCTGCCTGCCTTCCCTCCTTCCTTCCTTCCTTCCTTCCTTCCTTCCTTCCTTCCTTCCTTCCTTCCTTCCTTCCTTCCTTCCTTCCTTCTTTTTTCACTACAGAATCCGCTATTTGCCAGTGTATATGGGTGTGTGTCTAAAAGTGGTAGACACAAATTGTAGGCTTTGGCTTACAATTGATACAAAAAAATTGATCCTAAAATCAGAATCCCTGTTCATGTGATTTCCAGTTTTGGTTTAGAGGTCAGATGTCTGTTAGCCTGCTCAAAACAAGCAATCAGATCCTTGTGAACTAGGAAGCAAAGGAGAAAAATGATGTGTGGAAACTTGGCAAATAACCCTGACCGTCCAATGTAATGACATTTGATCAAGGCCAGTGGAGGCCCCTAGGAGAGCCATAACCTCGTAAAGAACCACCTCCCACCAGCGTCTTTCCCTGACATCTCCCTCCCTGGTTCAAAGCTTCTAGGGATCCCTAAGATCTTCTAACTCACTTCCTTTTCATTTTTTTGTAGATATGAAAGGGGGTGGTGGTGGTCTAACGGGCAGAAAAGAGATGAGGAAATCATAAATCAAGAAGATGAAATGCATCTAGGGACCTAAGGAAAGACAGGGGTCAGGAGGGGGCACCCGAACGCCTCTCTAACTGGCAAGAGAGGACGCCATGGGATGGATTGATTAAGCCCCACTCTTATCCGTCTTCATCCAGACGCCTCGAGGAAGAAAGTGACAGAGCCACCACTTTCTGCTAATGAAATGAAAAATGTGTTTTCTTAGCACCACCACCCTCTACAAATCTCTGGATAGGAAATTGTGGTTCTGTATCCCCAGTATCTTGGCTGTCTGCTCGAATGTGCAGAAAGCTTGAAATAGAAGTCAATGGAAGAAAGGAAACCCTATTCCCCACATAATAGATCAGAAAGCTCCTTCTGGAGCCAACAGATGTTGCCCATGCAATGGGAAAGTCCAGGTGTGTGTGTGTTTTCTTGCTTTGCCGCTTTGGATATGCCAGCGTAACAGCACAGTTTCCTCCTGGCCTTGTGTTGTCTTCCCTTCCACCCCTACTCACTCCCCTTCCCCTTGCCCAAGCATCTTGTTAATCACATTTTCCGGCTGAATTACACATTTGCACTAATTTAATTTTTCATTTCTATGTAAATGAACTTTCTCCAAAGTTCCAGACTGTTGCTGCAGTGACAAACCAGCCATCAGAAAGTGAGAAGGGAAAACGGGGAGCGATACAAGAGAAAACACCCAGCAGCTTTCTGACTCCTCCTGTCAATCCACTCAAGACGCATGGCACTCTCATGGCCCACGCTGTTTCCCTCACTAAATTAACTGGATTCCCTTTCTAATTAGGGTTGCCAGCTTCTAAACTAGTCCCTGTTCCTGCATTCTGAATTGCAGGTGAAGGAACCTCACTTCCTAATTTTATCTGATCAAAATATTGTAGAGTTGCAATAGCCCATTTGTCTTTATGATAAGCTGGCAATTCTGCTTCCATTATTGAGAATCACAACATTCTGGTTTCTAAATATCCTTTTATTCAAAAACAACTCTAGAACCCTGCCAGAAAAAAAAATCAGGTTCTTTGTTTTCCTGTGATAGCCTCCTTTATTTTAGCTGGAACTTGGCAAAGGTATCTTTGGACTATTTCTCGTAGAATCCCGCACTGGCATGGCCAGTGACCATACTGCTATGGACATTCTGGGAGTTTTTAGTCCAAAAAATAATGTTTTAATCTCTCCAGCTCTACTCCTTCTACCAAGGAGTTCTCTTTCTTTTCCCAGGCAACACTTTCTAATCCACACACACTATTTTTCTTATGGGAGAGAGACTTTAATCCAAAGTGGGACACTGAGAACTAGTGTGCCTTTCCATCCTGAGCAACCATCCCTAGACACTGTACAAAAGATATTCCAATTTTTCTCAGCGACTGCTTTCAACCTCTCATCATTTTCTTTTCCTTACAAGACAAAAACAAAGTGTCATCAGGTAAGTTGCTGCTCTTCTCACTTTTCAGGTGAGGCATCAAGGCAAAAATCCCACCACAGGTAGTATCTGGATTCAGGATTCCTGCTTTTGAGTACTTTGTACCACACTCACTTTGTGGCTTAACAGAAGCTTGGAAACGCTATTTTTGTTTTGACTGTGCAAAGTTCAAAAAGCAACTTTCCCAATTCTCTTTCTAGTGCTTATGAACTGCTCATTGTTCCTAGGTGGACTGTCTTCATAGTCTTTATCCCAACTCCCTTGGAGCACAGATACCTTCAAGCAGCATGAAATTAGAGGTATACTTTTAACAGAGGCTGCCTTCCTTCTCTCAATAAGCCACCAATATAACAAATAGCCCCCAGTGACGCAGCAGGTTAAACTGCTGAGCTGCTGAACTTGCTGACCAAAAGGTTGGCGGTTTGAATCCGGGGAGTGGGGTGAGTTCCCACTGTTAGCCCCATCTTCTGCCAACCTAGCAGTTTGAAAACATGCAAATGTGAGTAGATCAATAGGTACCACTCTGGAAGGAAGGTAATGGTGCTCTATGAAGTCATGCTGGCCACATGACCTTGGGAGTGGCTATGGACAACTCCAACTCTTCGACTTAGAAATGGAGATGAGCACCACTCCCCAGAGTTGGACATGACTAGACAAGGGGAAATCTTTACTTTTTAATATCGAATAGAACAATGCCATCTCAACGTCTTTCCATCTCAGATGTCCGACATTGTAGAATGCATAGGGATTTACATGGGCAAGGTTATTTAGCTCCTTCCCTCCAATAAAGGGAGATCTGTATTACAAGCAAGGTAGCTCTGTCCTGTCAGCGTTTGGCCACTTCCCTCCCCCCACAAACACACACCCTCCCCGTAAAGCTGGCAGGCCCCCAATGAGTCTCACTGGAGCAGAGGAGCAACTTGTTGTGTTTAAAGATTCATGTTTGGCCTCTAAAATATTCAGCAGATGTCAAAGCTGACAGCAGCTGCCATGCCAAAGAAGGGAGTGGACTGGAAAGCCAAAAGAGGTACATGCGGCACGGGGCAGTCTCAGGTGAGATGCGGGAAATGGGGAGGCTTTTTTGTCCTTGGCAAAAGACAATAGGTAGTGAGTTCAAGATGAAAAAGAGGCAAGAGAGGGGAGGGAGATATCCCTGGCAGCTGCTGGCTCAGCAGAGCCTTGCATTTCTGCTGAGAGACCCCTTAATATAGGGAAATTGCTAGTAATCTGCAACAGAGTCATTTATCCATCCATCTCGTT